TATTTCATTACTAATTAATAATCAAATTAATATTTGATTAATTATACATTTTTTTATTATTATGATTTAATAATAATAATAAAATAAATAATTAAACATATTATTTAGTATATCATATATTTAATTATATAATATATGTACAAATGTTCCTGTATCTTTGCTCAGTGTTTCTCGAGAAAAAGGCCTTTATCACCAGGTCTGACAGGGTGCTAAATCAAGGGTACTTTTCACAATACTTATCCAGTGATAAAGCTGTTATCTACTTTTCTCCCTTTATTAAACAGGTACATTCCCATTACTTTCTGTGTACTTATCACCAGGATGAGAAGAGGTGAGATATTTCAGTTCCTACCTGACTTATCACGGGTTATTAAACACCATTTTCTAGACTTTTCACTTTGCTAAGGTGAGAAAAGCCTTCTCACTGCTTATCACACTCTTTCACAGTTTATTAAATGTACACCTAAGTGCGTCCAGTGATCCTTAAAGTACAAAAACAAGTCTCTTGATAAGGGTGTACATAAAATATTCTCAAGTGGCACCTCTGACACTGTCCTTCCTTCTGGAGTGTCATGGTGAGATACACAAATAAGCTACATTTTAGTTAATAGATAAGGTACTTAAATACATTTTTAAGATTTAACTCTTGAGTTTAGTGTCATTTTAACATGTTTTATATGCATTGTAAATAATAATAATAATAATAATAAAAATACTATTTTTTTTCTACATTTTTTTTGATTATTGCAGAGCTAAAATTATATTTGTGATACAAAGTATGATGAGGCTACTTATGTAAAATAAAGGTATCTGGGTATGTTTTTAACATAACACAACAAAGGCTAAATAAATTAACAAAGCAAGGAGTTAATTAGGGTTAATCATGGTTAACCAAGGGTTTTTACTACACAGCTTTGTTGCAGCTCTTGTCATGATGAGGTCACAGACCAGGCCCTCTGATCCGTAGTCCCAAAAATGACACTGAACGATCACTGTCTTGAGATACATTAACATATAAGGCAAGCTTATCTATGGTTGCTATAATTCTGCCACATTTCTTCCATGAACATTCTAAACTGGTCAGCAATACGCATTGTGTTGTCTTATATCTTATACTGAGTCACTGGTGGTTTAGGCTAAGCATACAGCACCTGCCTGACAGCATAGTTATACTCTTCTGTGGCCTGGAGAAGGAAGCCTGGATCCATCAGGGATGCTTTTAAGAAAAAGAACCACATCAATACATTGCTGAGCAAGAATGTGATATGCCATTCCCAGAGGGCAATATACGAGACAGGCACAATCTGTAGAGAGGAAACAAATACAGTGTATAGTCAGCAATACTCCACAATGGATGAGTTACAGCAAAGGTGCTCACTGTTCCACAGTTAAAAATCAGCCCCAGATTTACTTCCATAGATAGTACATAGGTTGACAGAGAATGTGCACAGCAGAAATTAGATTAACACCCTAAACAGAAAAGAAGGATCTTAAAGCGTATCCTTAGATGTGCTGGCTGCATTCGTTTTCACTTTTCAGACTTTCTTCCTTTATTTTCACCTGGTGATCCAGCAAATTACACACTTCCTGTCCCTGGGTATCTATGTTCACTCCTTCACTGTATCTATTGAGGGAGTCATGGTTGCCACTTAGGCTGGACTATACCCACTTGCCTATCAAGGTACTTTCTGCAATGGTGAAGTAGTGAACCATCGGGTGGCCAGTGCACCTAGTAATGCCTGTGAATTGAGCCGTCCTTATTCACCTCCCTTATCCTACACATTAACTCCCTCATATTCATCCTTTACCTGCATGTGACCTCTACATTAAAGGAGGATTATGGAGAGAGTGAAATACACTCATTCTTATAATTAGAGCCAACGTGTGATACTGAAGCTGTCACACGTTTGCTCTATTGAACAAGAACTGAGTGATCACATACTGCTGATTGCTCAGTTCCCAATCTTCTCCCTGCAGAGAGCGGTGACTGTCAGTCACCGCTCCCCGCAGGGATTTCCGCCAGTCCTCCAGTGCTGACTGAAGGGACGGACAGGGGAGGGGGCGGGCACGGCCGGCTTTGCCTCTAGAGAGGTAAAGCCAGCTGTCAATTAGGCAGTGGGTTGGATACCAACAATATTGTCGGGATCCGTCCCAGGTGCAGCGCCGATCTGCATTTTTGGGTCACAGGAGGACATTAGTAAATTTCCTCCTGTGACCCTGAAGAGAACTTTGGCAAATAAAGGTTGGGCCATAGTTCTCTTTTAACCCCCTCACCACTTTCTCCCTCTTTAAAAGACCTGTATGCACTGTATGCATCGTTTTCAAGCTCTCTGTTTAAAACCCCTCAATACTATCAGGTTCATCTTCATTTACGAAAAAAGTGCCAAAAATAAGATCACCTGAGGTGCCTATTTTCCAAAAAGGGGTCATATTGAGGGTGTTCTCACTGTCCTGGCTTTTTTTTTCCACAAGTTAGGAAAGGTTTTCTTTTTAACATTTTTGGTTATCATGTCCTTTATATAGTAAAAAAAAGTGGTTATTAAATTCCACCAAAGAAAGCTTTATCTGTCTCAAAAACATGATATTAAATTTGGGTACAGTGTTGCATGTCTGTCCTGGTTATAGAGGGGTATTACAGACTTATATTCCAGTGGTCAAACATATCTGCCTTTATTTCCATTACATTAGGGTTGAAGGGGTTAGTAGTTTACAGAAGAAAGAGATTCTGCTAAGCTCACTGGAAGTGACAAGGACACTGCATTTTCACAATATAACACTAATGGAACCACCCCATCTACTGTAAGTAATAACTAGGTAAGGGAACTATTGATTTTAACAGGTAGGTGGTACAATAGTTATCTGTGAATTCTAATTAGAATTTGATTTAATCACTTTACCTTAAAAAAGTAAGTTGGGTATCCCCAAAGAAACAGATTTCCGTAAAAAAAGAGTATAGGTGCTTTTGATTTTCCTGGGCTGCCAAACAACCATGTACTACAAAAAAAACAAATATTGCATTAAACATAAAGTATTGGAAAGACAGTTTAGAATATAGTTGTCACCTCATCCCTATAAAGCCAAACACATATGAATTACTAAGGTTCTGTGGCTAAGTAGGGTGATAATCAGATTCACTCAGTGCCTTACCAGTTTATTTGGTACCTAGCCATGTGATTTAAAGTTGGATGAGGTGGTAACCCTAGTTTAACATGGTTTTGCAGTAGGCAAATGAAGAAATGAGCAACACAATGACCATGTGGACAAGTTTTCCAGCACCTGTTGTCCTGGGTGCAGAGAATGTGCATGGAATTTATATGTTCACCCACAATGCCAAATTGGTTGAAATTCAAACCTGGCTCAGGTGTGTATGCAGGACCGTCTTTAATATTAAGTGGGCCCTGGGCAAGATTTTGCTGATGGATCCCATCATGGGCCCCATTTAAATCTTATGGTATGATTTACATGTAGTACAGAACATGGATATATTAGTAAAATCTGTATTACAATTACACAGCATATCACCAAACACATGGACTGAATCTACTTTGCAGGAAGTGTTTAGTGAAATGCCGGTAAATGCAATACAATCCAGGTTGTTCCTCCCCAGTCCTGCTCCCAGACAGTACATGGACAGTACATGTGTCCAAGTGCTAAGATGTACTGTCTATGTACAGCTAAAGACATAAGTGCAAATACAGATAATGAATGTTAACAGGTTTTTTTCTTTTCAGAATTACCTTTAAAGTTGTGCTGTCTTGCAGTACCCTCCCCCTCCTTCTCCTCCGTGCCTGTCGGATCTCTGTGACAGGCATCGGGGGAGGAGATCACAGCAGGAGACATGCACAGACAGCCGGTTGTTCTCTTCACACAGGCCGGTTGCTACAGAGGATGAACGGCCGTTCTCTCTCCCTACGTGCGCTGCTGCAGCTCTTTCTCTGTCTGCTGCTGGGGGCAAAAAGGGCAGCTGTTGTGGGCCCCTGTAAATTATAGGGCCCAGGGCAGCTGCCCCTTTTGACCCGCGGTAAAGACGGCCCTGTCCTTCACATTCTCACATAATTCATTCCCACAGCTACCTCATGTATCATTTCCCCCTCCTCTTTTAGATTGTAAGCCCTCAGGGGCAGGGCCCTCCTTACCTTCTTGTCTTGAATTGTATTGTAACTGTAATGTCTTCCTTATATTGTAAAGCGCTGCGCAAACTGTTGGCGCTATATAAATACTATGTAATAATAATAATAATGTATATATATAGCTGTGGTAAGTGCATTTGACTGTAAAGGTGCCCATAGACCTTACAGTTATTGTTTGATAATCGTCCACGATCGCAGTTTCGTACGATAATTGGCCAGTTGATGGGAAGTGCACAATCACAATTACTGAACAATTGGCTGAATGTGGTTGAATGGGCAGAATATAAAATTTTAGTCGAAATGGAGGAAAATGGATGGATTAGTGGCGTTTTTGTACAACAAAAATCACAACATGAACACTGCACATGCGCAAATGAAAATCTGTTCTGTCGATCGAGGAAATTTGGCCAGTTAGTATTGCTGATGAACGATAATCGAAGGCTAAACTGAACGAGGGTGCGATGTCGAGACAAAAAAAAATTGAACGATAATTGTAAGGTGTATTGCCAGCTTTAGTTCCTTTCTGATGCAGTGATTAATGTCATAGTCTGAGGAATTTAGAAGCACTTTCCAAGGGACTTCCTCGTCTGCTCTTTTTTACATGACCATTCAGACATAATGGTGCCCATCACTCCTAAAAGGTTCCTCGTTGTGCAGAATGTGCCCAGCATTCTGCTGCAGGTTATATCTGAAAATTCTACTCCTTATAAAGGAAAATAACAGGACAGCAAAAGGCAGGGACATATCTGTATAACCTTTATAAAGTGAAAATGTAAACATTTAAAGCTATACCATCTAAATCTATGCCATCTGCACAAAAAGTAAAAAATACAATTGCAAAGAAATCACCTCCAGTCAAACTTAGCATGTAGATTCTTTGACTGTATGATAGTGTTCTGCAGAAATGAGACTATTTCTTTTGATTTTCGTCCCTTAGCCAGTCGTAGTGGGGTGTTCCGGTTGTTATCTTCACCTTCCAGCTCCACCCCATCCTGGAAACAGAAAATTAACAAATGGTCTACTATATTTAAAAACATGAATTAAAACAAAGCAAATAAAGATCCAGAAAAAAATAAAACAGCAATATATATACCGTATATATATAGGGATGCACCGATATATCGGTCGCCAAAACATATCGGCCGAAAATGGCACTTTTGGCATAATGCCGAAAGCGCCATGTTTCGGCCGATTTGCCAGACAGAGAAGTGTGATTAGTCACTCCAGAGAACACGTTTCCAAGTCTCTAGAGTCCAGTGCCAGCGTGCTTTACACCACTGCATCCAACCCTTTGCATTGCACTTGGTGATGTTAGGCTTGGATGCAGCTGCTCGGCCATGGCAACCAATTCCATGAAGTTCTCTACGCACTGTTGTTGTGCCAATCTGAAGGCCAGACAAAGTTTGGAGGTCTGTAGCTATTGACTCTGCAGACAGTTGGCGACTTCTGCACACAGTGCGCTTCAGCATGTGCTGACCCCGCTGTGTCATTTTACGTTTACTGTGGAATATTTAGTAGCAAGGACATTTCACGGATGGACTTATTGCACAGGTGGCAACCTATCACGGTACCACGCTTGAATTCACTGAGCTCCTGAGAGCGACCCATTCTTTCACAAATGTTTGTAGTAGCGTCTGCATGCCTAGGTGCTTGATTTTATACACCTGTAGCCATGGAGGTGATTGGAACACCTGAATCCAATGATTTGGAGGGATGTCCCAATACTTTTGGCAATATAGTATATTTATATACTGTATTTTTATTAATAAAAAAAATACTTTAGTTATCACTTAAAGGATGATGTCTCTCTCTCTTGAGTCTACACCCCTTTTATTACAAGAAAGTATTTTGCTTGCTTTAGAAACTGCAGCTTGACATTGCATGCTAATATTGAGTCTATGATCTACCAGAACACCCAGATCTTTCTCCATAATTGACTCCCCCAAACATTCTCCCCCTAGAGTGTATGACGCATGCATGTTTTTAGTCCCTAAGTGCAGAACTTTACATTTATCAACATTAAACCTCATTTGCCTAATAGATGCCCAATCATACAGTGCATTCAGATCTGCTTGTAGGTTGGAGACATCCTGTAAGGACTTTATTCCACTAAATAACTTGGTGTCATCTGCAAACACATAAATAGTACTTTAATCCCCAATTCTATGTCATTTATAAATCGGTTAAACAGTAAGGGGCCCAACACTGAAACTTGGGGGACACCACTAACAACCTCAGCCCATTTAGAGTATGAATCATTGATCACCACTCTCTGAATACAGTCTTTAAGCCAGTATTCTATCAAATTACAGATTGAATATTCTATACCTACTGACCTTAACTTATACATTAGCCGTCTGTGGGGAATGGCTAATGTATAAGTTAGCCATTAGGGGAGGTACTTTTCTCAACACTTGATTTTTTGTAAGCAAAGTTGACTTCACTATAGTTACATAGTATTTGAGGTTGAATAAAGACACAGGTCCATCAAGTTCAACCTTTGTGTGTGATTGTGCATAAGTCCCTGTGTGATCTTGTTTTTAAGACCTGTACCCCTGTATGTTACGGTCTGTGAGGAAGGTACAGTATCTAAATGCTTTTTCAATGATTCAATACTCTCAGCTGATACCACTGAGTATACTTTAGTCATTCCTTGTATGTGTTTTATACTTTTTCTAACATTCTGGATTTTGCCTGCAGGTAGTTCTGTTGGTGAAATCTGAAATGTATATTCCTTTAATTGTGTACATGGAGAGGTTCACAAATAAACAAGGAATTTCTGGAATCCCCATTTAACAGATGTATTACCCTTCTAAGTTTTACTTACTTGTTCACATAGCAATTGAACAGTAGGGAGATTTCCACTTAATACAGCTAAATGTAATGGAGTCTGCAAGGAAAGAAAGTTTACTTTCATTAGTAGTTTTCAGACTGTTATGGCCAAAATTCTGAATGAAGCCAGGCATTAAATACAGTACCAGTTGAACTTTTTCTTGTCCTCTAATACATTGCAAATTCAGTATGTATGATCATAATAGATTTACTAGTTACCTAAGCACTTCTTAGGCTCAGACATAATTACTTTAAAGAGTCAGTAAGCCAGTCAGTTGACAAACAGCAACAATTTATCAGTAACTGCCTACATAATCATGAATGAAAAGCATTGAATTGAAAAATGAGCGTATAATCCCAGTAGAAGGCCCCTGGATGCAGTGTGCACCAGTGTCCACCATAGTGACAATAGTTAGGTGAATGCCACCAATATTTTGACCACTGGACACATCTTAGTTTCTTTCTCTACTTTAGGAATGTCCAGTGGTTGACATAATGCCAGTAAATATTGAAAACATTGTTCACTTTGGAAAATGAACTCTTTGATGAACATTTTTACACTTTTTTAACTTTTACTTTGCCTGGAAGTGTTAAATGCCTGGAAGTGTTAAATGCTCTTTACAGGAACAGTTTTTATTTAGGTTTTAATGTGAGTTAGTAATGCTGGCAAGGTTCTAATCATTCAATTCACTTTATAGATAGCTTCACTTTAATAGCAGAAATGCCTGGGGTTGTTTTTTTTGTAGTATATATTTATCTGCTTTTTGACAATCTACTGCTTACATATCTTGGAACAATTTTTTTCAAATAACTAACAAAAAAACAATTTAATTATGGTCAATTAACAATGATATACTGTATATAACCTTTAAAAAAATTTGAAACAACCCACACTTTTATTTGTGCAGAGAACACATGTCCAAAGCAAATGTCAAGATGTCTTTCCATTAAGGATGCGGTTAGTGTACATTCATCCCCGAGAGAGGTGCACAGCTGTATTTAACAGGCAACAGGAATGCAAATACTTGGAGTTTAAATCTACATGTGTTTAACTTATTGCTACGTATATCTGGGAATTTGCAGGAGTTCTGGAAGGCTGTAAATTCTGCAACAAGTTAATTCCCCCACATCTTCAGTGCTTGTTTTGTTAGGCATATACATAATGGGTCACTTGTAGAATATTAGTGTACGATACCCAATGCCAATCAAAAAGAAATCATCTGTGTATTTTAAGCTTCAGGAGGTTGACTGGTTGCCATTGAATACAGCACAGCCTGTAATCTCCTGTACATTAGCATTCAGACAGGGAAAGGAACTGTACACCAAAGGATTTACTGCATTCCACAATGCAAGCATTCTAATAAATCTAGCATGCTCATTGGAGAAGAAAACACAAAGGAGACCTGATCAGTAATTCTTTACCAATCAGTTTTGCTTTGACTGCAGTGGAGAAATGTAAATGGCCAGTGGGGCTTCGTATTGTGCCCTGCAAGACCAATTGGAAAAAAAAATAGCTGGAGAGATGTACAATTTTTAAAAGCCATTGAACATATCCTTTTTGATAAACTCTGATTTGTACTAAACATGCTTGGAGAATATAGGGAGAGCTTTGTTGTCAACAGATTTCACACCACTGTGCATCTACATCACTCTCCACCAAGGGACAGGGGCAGTGTAAATGTGAGGGCAGGTGGGTTTGGAAGGAGAGGTAAAGCTAGTGGCAAATAGCTTGGTGTTGACATGGTGGATTATCCCATTTTTGTGGTCTCTGCCATACACAATCGCCAACCAATTTAAACAAAATTAAAGTCAAGGGATGTTAAAAAAGAGTTCTACGCTGTCACTACATGTAATAATAGAATCCTTAATATAACAATACATTTTATTAACATATCTCATGCTTTACAAATCAATTGCACTAGATGGGTGATACAATTAATAAATACAGATGGGGTTCTAAGCTGTTTGCAGTTAGGAAACTGTGCAAACTAAATGGCTTGTTTGCCCACCTGATTAAGTGAATCCCTGGCTGCTGCATGAAGTCATTTAGTGGCACTATATTACAGACCCCAAGCATCATTGGTTGCTAGGATGCAAGTGGCTGCACAGCATCATTGGTTGCTAGGACACGGGCTGCCATTAGCATCCTAGCAACCACTGTCCTGCTGCCTGTCGATCTGTTTCTAATTGTAAGCAAGTCAACTGGCATCCCTGGTGATGTTAGTGACTAAATAACACTGAAAGCCAACCAATGACGCTGTGCAGCCTGGCCATGTTTGGTGACTGATGTAATCTTGGATCTGGGACAGTTTCTTGACATTCAGCAGCTGGCCAGGGAATATATCATTTATGATGACGTATCAGCAGGAGAGGATCTTTAATGGGACATTTGCTTTATTTATTTACTTTATTATTATTTGGAAATCACAGGACACTATTTTGTAGACACCGTGTATGGTGTGTGTTTATTTACTACTTATTTTTTTTTATAAATAAGTAACAAGGGGTATTATGTACCCCTTACTTATTCATATGGGGCTTTGGCCAGATATCTGGGGGTTCTTTTTGGGGGTTTTTATTTTCCCATGGGGTATTAGTTCTGGAGGAATGCCAATCAAATCAATCAGTTGCAGAGAAAAAAAATGCATGTTCTCTTCTGTGTCCTAAACACATATTTCTGAGAAAAAAATTGCTATACACAATGGAATAGATGATTGATCGTATATTTATTGTTACATCTAATGCCAGGATTAGTCTACAACTTCTTCTATGTTAAACTCTATTTTCAGTGAATACTTACACATAATATCACCTCATACCGTTAGAGTGATGAATCAGGAGTACTGCCAACATCCTGAAATGTGGTCTACAGGATAATCCTTTTAAGTTCTTTATTTAGTAATGGTTATAAACAGATGTCACCACTCTGCAACTTTACTTCCGACTATCACTTTACACTACTCAGTTTGACATAGGGCTGCAGCTAACGATTATTTTCATAATCGATTAGTTAGCCGATTATTACGTTCGGTTAATCGCATAAAAAAAAAAAAAAGGCTCCAGTGATGGACTACTAGTTTGTATTGAGATTGTAGTCCAACACGGGAGCAAGCTTGGAGCGGTGGAAGTAAAAAAAAAAGTGTGGTGTGCAATATAGTACATTATACAGCAGCGCAGTGCAGAATACCAGCAGCTATAGAGGAATGCAGCAATAGTACATTATACAATAATGTACTATTGCTGGGATTTGTAGTCCTCTGTAGCTGGCGTTATTCTGCATTGCGCTGTATATAATGTATTATTGCTGGGATTTGTAGTCCTCTATAGCTGGTGGTATTCTGCAGTGTGCTGTATAATGATTATACGACACAATGCAGAATACCAGCAGCTATAGAGGAATACAACACATTCCATCAATAGTACATTATACTATACTATTATGTATATAATGTATTATTGCTGGGATCTGATGTATTCCTCTATAGATGGTGTTATTCTGCATTGCGCTGTATAATGTACTATTGCTGGGATTTGTAGTCCTCTGTAACTGCTGGTATTCTGCATTGCGTTGTATATAATGTATTATTGCTGGGATTTGTAGTCCTCTGTAACTTCTGGTATTCTGCATTGCGTTGTATATAATGTATTATTGCTGGGATTTGTAGTCCTCTGTAACTGCTGGTATTCTGCATTGCGTTGTATATAATGTATTATTGCTGGGATTTGTAGTCCTCTGTAACTGCTGGTATTCTGCATTGCGTTGTATATAATGTATTATTGCTGGGATTTGTAGTCCTCTATAGCTGGTGGTAGTCTCCATTGCTCTGTATAATTATTATACTGCGCAATGCAGATTACCACTGACCAGTTATAGAGGAACAACAAATCCCAGCAATAATACATTATACAGGGTGTTTAATATACTGTATTATTGCTTGGATTTGGTGTTCCTCTATAGCTGCTGGTGTTCTACAGTGTGCCGCTTTTTTTTTTTTTTTTAAACAGGAAACATTAAAACAGGTCCCCCTTACCTGTTTCTGAACCCTTCTAAGTTGAGGCGGCGTGCTCTGCTGGCGTGTGTCCGGTTTGTGTGGTGGGCGTTGGGTCCACGGCGTGTGCGAGGTGGGCGTGGCGTCCGCGGCGTGCGTAGCGTAACTCTACCTGTTCCACCACAGCACCCCTGTACTCCTGTTCCACAACAGCACCCCCACACAACTATTCCACCACTGCACACCCATACAACTGTTCCACACTGCACACCTGTTCCACCACAGCACCCCTGTACTCCTGTTCCACCACAGCACCCCTGTACTCCTGTTCCACCACAGCACCCCTGTACTCCTGTTCCACCACAGCACCCCTGTACTCCTGTTCCACCACAGCACCCCTGTACTCCTGTTCCACCACAGCACCCCTGTACTCCTGTTCCACCACAGCACCCCTGTACTCCTGTTCCACCACAGCACCCCTGTACTCCTGTTCCACCACAGCACCCCTGTACTCCTGTTCCACCACAGCACCCCTGTACTCCTGTTCCACCACAGCACCCCTGTACTCCTGTTCCACCACAGCACCCCTGTACTCCTGTTCCACCACAGCACCCCTGTACTCCTGTTCCACCACAGCACCCCTGTACTCCTGTTCCACCACAGCACCCCTGTACTCCTGTTCCACCACAGCACCCCTGTACTCCTGTTCCACCACAGCACCCCTGTACTCCTGTTCCACCACAGCACCCCCACACAACTATTCCACCACTGCACACCCATACACCTGTTCCTTGCTGCACCTTCATACACCTGTTCCACACTGCACCTCCGTACACCTATTCCACCGCTGACTTACTTTCAGAAGGTGGGCCCTCGATTGTCGGCGGGCCAGCGGCGAGAGAGGGAGCTCGCGGCGAAGAGGAGAACAGCAGCGTGCGCGGCTTCAGCGTTCTGTGCGGTGGGCGTTGCTTATGCGGCCTGTGCAGTGGGCACGGCGGCCGCAGCGGGAGCAGCGTGTGACGTGTGGCTCAGGCCGCGTGTGGAGCCCCGAACAGGCAAATCAACCGATACCGACGAATCGACGATCGAAAACGTTTTCAATCGTCGATTTTATTCGACTAAATCGATTAACTGTTGCATCTCTAGTTTGACAAACAGAAGGAACGAATGGCCAGAAGGAACCTGATTCTCAGGATATACTGTATGTTTCCTCGAAAACATATTTTTCTGGTGATAGGATTATTTCTGAAAAAGTGGCATATATTGGATTGTGTATGTTTCACAATGTTAGGGTGGAAAAAACTAAACCCAACATAAGACAGGTTTCTCAATGGTAGTAATGTTATTTTTTATTTTTTTTAGCTGCCCAGTAAATTACAACCAGGCTGGTTGTATTTGGCATTTTCCTAAGTTACATTGGCTCTAAAATATTTTAGAAATTATATTCAGTGAGTATAGCAGCAGGTAGTGGATGCCTTGCAATAGTTGGCATGTGGGCAGAATGTCCTTGGAGTGACTAGAAAAATCAGCACTAGCATGAAGAGGAAACATGAACACAGAACAGTCTTGGCAGAGTTCTCGTCAGTCATGAGCATGGTTTGAATTTATGGTTTGAATTTAAGATTACTAAAAGTCAAAAAACCCTGGTTAGCAGCAAGTAGGACTTTTAAAGTGTAGCTTCAGTTTCATTGCAAAACTTCATCATACATATCTGCTTTTGCATGACTAAAAAAAGAAATAGATATAACAAAGGTAGGTAATAGAAAACATAAAGTGTGGTAAAGACAAGTACATACAGTTTAAGATTGTAGCAATAACAAGAAACACGAATGGTAAGTATTGGAATTTGAGACACTTGCCAATTATACTTTCAACTTTACCGGACACGGATACACACAACTTTACAGCCCGCAAATTATCATACTAGTTCCGGTTAGAATTTCAGATTAAATTGACAGCATCTGTAAAGTCTACTGTATATCTGGATTTGGAAGGTTAGTGTAAGTGTCCATTTCAGAGAATTCCATGGAATGTGCAGATTCAGCATAGAGCAGTAATTGATTTAAACATTTTATACACTCCTATGAAAAGATTTTTTTTTTCTGAGGCCAATTCCGTCTTTTTTTTAGTGTTGCTGTTTCATGTCTTTATAAGTTGGTAACAATATAAAAAAAGCACAGTGAACATTCTTTGTGGTTACTGGCAATTCTGGATCCTAGCTGGCTTCCTTATACAGTAGATTCCCATGACAATAACATTTTATAATTGGCGCCTGGAACTTGTTGCCTTTTAAAAGATAAAATAATTGGGTCATTGGTTCATAATTTTTTGCTAGCTGTGTTTCTCTGCTATGGGATACGCTGACAAAAACATTTAATTTATTTTACTTTATTTCTTAAGGGGCAATTTGTTTTAGTAATAACTACATAGGCCATTCACTGGTAGATTTTCATATGAACGCTGATGCAAAAAATCTTGTCAGAACATTTAATAATGCCATCAGAGACTTGATCAATGTCATTCATAATATTGTTTGATTTTAACATTTGATTTTGTAATGAATGGAGTGTCTGGAATTAAAACCACATTTATGGGTAGAATTTTTTAATTGTTTGTTTGAGAAGAATTTTCCATCCCGCTCCTTTGTTTTGTTTTTTTTTGTCACTCCTGTCAAAAATGATTGTCGATGAATGATTAACTATTACAAAATTGAACAAATGTTCAGAAAACAATTTTTTTCTGACAAAATTCTACTGGTATATGGCCAGCTTTACTTCACTTTGGCAGCTGCAGCCCAGAAATTACACTGATCCCCTGTAGATTTGAATGGTGAAAAATGGTGAACATCTCCATTCTCAGAGTACGGCCTTATACAATTCTGTGAGGGCTCACTGCACATGCATTGCCAGCACAGAAGCAATTCTTGGCCTAGAAGTAAACAGCAGAGGACTAAAAATACAAAACACACAGCTTACATCCTTGCAATCTACATCCAGTGCATGGATAACCCTCTGCTGATGTAATTAAATACTACAAAATTGGCGCATGATGCTCTTCCAAAGAAAATCACATTTTCTTCCACATGCATCCATACAAAAAAACAAATGCTGATACGTTTCTGCCTCACTTGGCCTCAGTCATAGCTGACTAATTCACATAGCCATTACTAAGGCCGAGTAAGGCAGAAACATGTCAGCGGTTGTTTTTTGTACAGATGCATGTGGATTAAAATTAGATTATTTTTTTTGGAAGAGCATCATGTGCTGGATAAACTGCAGAGGAGACTGTGGCTGTTATGATGTGGTGTGGGTAAGGTTTCCTGGCCAGGAAAGGTGGACTGATGTAGTTTTTAGTATTAGCGATAGTTAGTACTTGTCATTTAAAATACCATGTCTTCCTCAAAATGCTTAAGTTATGAGTGGAAATGTTCAAGTGGATCCATTAACCGACCATTTATGTCTTTCTT